CAGTGTGTTCAGTGGTTCAGTGTCAGAGGGCTGGGCTACAGTGTGTTCAGTGGTTCAGTGTCAGAGAGCTGGGCTGCAGTGTGTTCAGTGGTTCAGTGTCAGAGGGCTGGGCTACAGTGGGTTCAGTGTCAGAGAGCTGGGCTGCAGTGTGTTTAGGAGCTCAGTGTCAGAGAGCTGGGCTGCAGTGCGTTTAGGAGCTCAGTGTCAGAGAGCTGGGCTGCAGTGTGTTTCCGCAGAGAGCTCTGAAATGCCAGTCAGGAGCCAGGAGTGTGGTTCTGAGTGTTTGTACCTTCACTCTGTACTGCCAGATCATCCTCCAGAAATCTCCCAACGTGTTGAGCAGGGGGCCTTGAGTGGCGATGTAGCTCCTGTGTTCAGCTGCACCCTGGATGATAAACACAGTTCAAGGATCTCTCACCTGCTTCATTCAACAAATCAGCTGCTCAAGTGGTGCAAATGAAATCGTTCTGTCTTTAGAACTGGCCATTTAAAAGTAACCTATAAAACCTGCTGGACTTCCCCACAGAAATAGCGTAGTGCTAAATCAGGCTTGGTCAACCGAGGATTATGTTTTGCAGAAATCAAAACTGGCAGGGCAAACCAGCACATCTGTAGGTCCTGGATGAAGCACCTACTGTTTATCCAGCATGTGTGTTATCACCCTCTTTGCAATACTGCAGCTGAAGTCATTATGCTGCCATCTGAAGTTATTTTAAAGAGTCTTTAGTGACTTTCACTTAAATCTCTCGATCACAGGCATAACTCAACTTCTGTCAACAAGTTCAAAACAAAGTCTCGACTTTCACATTTTGGGCAACAGGATTGATATAAGCTTTGGCTTAATCGGAGATAAGCGTTAGTCCACGTTGGTGTAATTGGAAAATGTATAAATGTTTTCTTATGTTAGGTCTCAAACAACAGATAAGACTTTTTACCACGGAACCCTGTTTTGCAATCAGGAACACGTGTGCAAACTGAAGGAGATGGTGTCTGTTTCCTCTGTGTGCTGGCTCAGTACCCACGGGGCGAGCTGGCCCTGCGGGGGCAGCGCTCCCCCTCTCTGTGGACGGGGTAGCCGGGGGTGTGCGCGGGCGGACCAAGTCCAGAGCTGCCATCACTGAGGCCTGTCAGCCCTGAGCCGGCGCCAGCAGGGGTTCGGAGAGGCGGCCGCGGTACCTGGATGAAACTGGCGTTGATGTAGTCAGGGGCGCCCTGGTCCGCCAGCAGGGTGAGGGGTACGAGGCTCTGGTCGTCTGCAGAACAGGAAGAGCACACAGAGATCAAAGGCATGCTGACAGGAGGCCAGAGAAGGAGGCAGGGTTGTTTCAGACTGCCAGGACACACGTGTAAGCAAGGGGCTTTGCAAACTCCAATCCTCCATGTGGCAGAAACAGCAGCAGCAGTCGTGGAGGGTGCCGCCTGTGACACACCAGCGCCCTGTTCAGGGGCGGGCTGGCACTCTCACCTCTCACCCTGTTCAGGGGTGGAGCGGTGGCTCTGTGGCTCAGGATCTGCGCCTGTGGCTGGAAGGTTGCCGGTTCAAATCTTGTGGCCAGCAGAGGAATCCTACTCCGTTGGGCCCCTGAGCAAGCCCCATAACCCCAACTGCTCCAGGGGTGCTGTACAACGGCTAACCCTGCACTCTGACCCCAGGCTTCTCTCTCCCTGTCTGTGTGTCTCATGGAGAGCAAGCTCTGAGAAGACAAATTCCTGATGCAAGAAGTTGTATAGGGCTAATAAAGTGATCTGATCTAATCTTACCTTGGCCAAGGCTGCAGAAACTGGTTGAAGCTCTGAGCCTATGAGTCCAAGGGATTTGCATGAAGTGTTCTTTATGAAGGACTCTAACCTGCCCTCATGGCTGAGCTCAGCAGGAGGTGAAGCACCTTTCCGGATGGCAGCTTACAAGCCACAGGTGACAGGTGTGCTCACCTGGATCCAGAGCTTCAGAACCCTGCCACAGCGCCATCTATCAGTTCTTTTGAACTCAGCATCTCTATTTTTAAACTGCTCTGAACTGACTTCACGGTGACTTAATAAATGTCCGTTATTTGACAACTCTGATTCTTGGTAGTAAATTCTGGACCCATTTTCATGAGCTGTATCTGGATCTGAATGACTTTATTTTTACAATGATTCCACATTTACCACTGGTGCAGTGGTCAGCACTGCTGCCTTGCACCACTGGGGCTCTAGGCTCAGTTCCTGGAATGCTGTCTGCGTGGAGCCTGCATGTTCTCCCCAGGTTCGAATTGGTTTCCTCCAGGTGCTCTGGTTTGCTCCCACAGTCCATACTGGACATACTGCTAGCTTAACTGGCTTCTGGGGAAACTGGCACTAGGTGTGAGTGTGTGAGTGTGCCCTGCAATGGACTGGCATCCTGTCCAGGATGTACCCCGCCTCGCGCCCATTGCTCGTTGGGATAGGCTCTGGCTCCTCCGCAACCCGGAATTGGAAGAAGTGTTTAAAGGTGAATGGATGGCAGGGGCACTATCGCAGAGTTATCTTCAGAAGGAAGAGGTAACAGACGGGATAAGGCAATACTGTGAAAACACTAGGCTCAGTCCTTCCCAGAATCAGCTCTTTCCTGTCCAGCTCTTCCACAGTGGTCTTTGCTGCACCTGGTCGTGTCGATGGAGGTTTTCCCAGGACAGCGAGGGGCGCAGCGCTACCACCTGGTGGGTTACGCAGGTGCCGGTGGTTTCTAGTGGGGGGGTGGCGAGGGGCGGCTCTGCGGTGGACACTCACAGGGCAGGATGTCCTTGTAGCGGTTCTTCTTCAGGTTCCCCTTCAGCGCCCCCATGTCCGTCGTCAGGCCCAGGCTCAGCTTCATCGCCACCGTTTCGGTGCGGATGGCCTGGGGAAAGCACCGCAGGCGACCTGTGACTTCATACAGTCTGAACCAACTGCTCGGCCTCTGATTACTGCACACAATCGAGGAGTTTGACATCCCACTTCCAACACTCTGCCAATACAGGAACCCTGCACTGGGGCTCCAAACAACCTCTCTAGCTTGACAAAAGCCCAACAACTAAAGAAGGACTGCATTGCTAATAGGATTTCTCTGCTGATGTAGCCTCCATTATTAAGTAAAAGGCTCCTAGTGTCACCTCCACACGTTACATGACGTGCCTGAGGCTACTGCAGGGAGCAGGCTGGACAACACTCCCACATGCCACAGCTGGGACTGGTGTAGAAATCAGCAACCACCACTAAACCGCTCATTGCAGCCCCACTCTACTCATTCCAGTGCAGCCCGGTGAAGCCATAAAGTTTACCAATGACAGTAGGCCATTTGTCCCCTCCAGCCTGTTTGGTAAATCATTACTAAATTGGTCCCTGGATCAGAGGCACTGTTTTGTTAAAGGAGTCAGGGTATCAGCTTCAAGAACACGGCTGGGTGGCTTGTTCCACATCCCCACGACTCTTTGCGTAAAGAAGTTTCCCCTGCTCTCAGTTTTAAGTGCGCTCCCCTGTAGTTTCGATCATGCGTCGCTTTCGACTCTCCAATAAGCAGCTCGGCCAGCAGGGGGAGACAGACCTCCACATCTCACCGGAGCCGCTCCTGGCGTGGTGGAGCTGGCGCGGACTCGCCTGCACAGTGACCGCTGCCCACAGCTAACGTGCTCTTCTGAACCCCTGATAAGACTGAAATGATATAAACATGTCGCTGATGACAACCCAGACTTGTTCAAATATCTCCAATAACCCTCGGACAGCTGGTACCTCTCACCATTACTACTGCTGCTGCAAGCACTGCAGCAGCTACTACTGTTAGGATGATGGGTAGTTCTACTGCTGTTACAGACAGCAAAGGCAGCAATGTCTGCTCATGGCAAAGACTGGAGTGTTTGTGTCGACACACCTGTCCACCTTCTGGACTAATCAGAAAGGCAGACAGGGTGTTAGGATATAAAGTTAAAAGAGTAGAATTTCAATCAAGGGGTGCTAGGTTAAATTGCACATAAATGTGTAGTGTTTTATCAAAACTGTATGGAGACCTTGTCTGAAGGACTTATAAAACTTCTGTGTACAGATTTGGTCACAGAGTTATAGAAAAGATACAGTTTTGCTGCTCTGGACTTTGTCCAGGGAAGAGGAACCAGATGCATTCTGGGACTTAAGGGAGTGTCCCACACCGGCAGGCTGGAGGAACTGAGTCTCCTTAGTCTGAAGGGAGTATCCAACACCGACAGGCTGGAGGAACTGAGTCTCTTTAGTCTGAAGGGAGTGTCCCACACTGACAGGCAGAAGAAACTGAATCTTTTAGTCTTGAACAGAAAAGACTACAAGGGGATTGAATTCAAGTACACAAAATACCCAAAGGCCTCAACAAAGTTAACCCAGCAGATCTCTTCATGAACCAGAGGACACAAGTGGAAACTACAGAGAAGTGCATCTATAAGTGACAACGGGAGGCACTTCTTTACACAAAGGGTTGTGGAAGTCTGGAACAAGCTACCCAGCCAAATTGCTGGTGCCGGTAACCTTATTTCAGGAAACAGCTGTATGAGATCTTGGGATCAACTGCCTACCACACAGGGTGACTGGGCAGATCAGCTCTCATGAGCTCTTTTCCACACACAGACACACAGAATGTCTATTCAGAAATTTGTCCCTTTACAGCTTTACTCTAACTTCACTTAGTGAATACTCTATTTTCACTGCTATTATCCCCCCCTTATTACAAAGAGACATAAAGCATCTCAGGTTTTAAAGTGTCTTTTCAGAACACACTGTGCAAAGGGTCCGATCAGCACAGCTTTGTTCCAGGAGCTCTTCACAGCCACTTCCTGATGCTCGTCGCCAGGCTGGGTCCTGCATGAGTCCCCAAGGTAAGAGGAGGATTTGCATGGCAGGTCGGCTGCCTGAAACGAGAGCCCTTATCTGCAGGTGCGCATTCAAATCCTGTTATATAAAGAGCTGCAGCCCGCGAGAGTGGCGGACACAAAGCGAAACGCACCAGTGAAAACGCACGACTGTGGCCGCGCCCAGCCCTCAGTTTCTCACTCGACAAGTGCAGGCTGGCCACCATGAGCGCTCGTCGAGAGAAAGCAAAAAGCACATTTTTGCCAACGACATAAGGACATTGGGCTCATCCAGCATCTTATCCAGCCAGTTCTTTGAAGAAGCCAGCGTACTGGCTTGGAAGGGCAACATTTCTCAAAACATGAGCTCATGCCCGGCGACCTAGCCATGCAGAGCACCCACATCCTGGACCGTTTCCAGAGGCTCAGACTGACAGCGATCTGCTCCGAGAAGCTACACGGTTTACCGATCCCTTGCTTCATAGCTTTGGGTGAATTTTAAAATGAATGAACAGCAAGGTGGAGGTCTTGCCCTCAACCATTTTCAAGCAATAGCTTTTATTAAGGGTCTCCAATTCAAACACAGAATCATAAGGCACCCGTTTATTGCCATAAGTCAAACTACTATGAAATGGAAGATATTTAAAGCTGTGTGTCAGTGTGTGTGTTTTTACACAGGAAGATTGGGGTGCAAAGTGTGCCCTCCCTTGGATTAGGGGGACCCTGGGACAGCCTCAGAGGGTCTCCTGGCCTGTCTGGGCCCTTGTTTGAGAATCACCGATTGAACAGAACCGTTCCTGCACTCTGGTCTCTCGGCTGCAGAGGCTCCCACAGCAGTAGCTGCGTTTGCGACTCTGGTCGAGGACAAACACAGACACACAGAGACGATAAGTAACTTCCTCTGACTGAGAGACAGTTAGACAGCAGGGGAGTCAGGTAATGAGTCATTCGCTATAACTGCTACATAAGGTGACATATCTCTACATAACTGTACCAGTACACAGCATATTAGATTACCAGTACCGACAGAATGTACACAACGCCGTCGCAGCTGTGCTGAGTCGCAGCTACAGAGTCCTGGAGTCAGTCCAGCAGCGTTCCCGCACCACGTGGGGTTTCTAAGGGATACAGGTGTGGCCATAGATACTTCAGCTTGAGCAAATCAGTGCCAGGAGCCAGGCACAGCGCTCACACATGCGCTCATACCTGCCTGCGTGTGCAGTCCTGCAGTTCACACACTAGAACGGCCACAGGGAAGGCACAGCACTGCAACGCTATTCATGCATTTTCTTAACCAGCCCCCCAGAACGCTGAACAATGTCACATGCTCTGCGGACAATGACGTCTCCGATTCCAGGGGACGCTTTCAACGTGCATGTGCAAGTTTCCTTTGGACAGCTGTCCAGCTCGAAGGTCCACTCTGAACTGCGCCGCGCGTCTCCAGCTTCAATCCTCTGCGTGCTGCCCCCTCCTCGCCCCTCTTTCTTCTAATAAATTGCCTGTTACGAGGGAGGGTGGAGAGTGGCCCTGCACTCTCAGCACACTCCGAGAAACAGGGGAAAGAACCATTCTGTTCCTTCTTCTTTATTGTGGCATGAGGAATCCCTGGTGTCTCCTGGACAGATGACTGCGTGCTCTTTGTGCTGATATAGTAATAATAATACACTTACATAGCGCTTCTCTGGACACTCCACTCAAAGCGCTTTCCAGGGCTGATGTCAGACGTGACGGTGGCCTAACATGGCCTCCTTCCAACAGTGGCCACTGCCCAACAGGCTGCCCCAGTGCAACACTGAGCGTGCTGCTGTTAGCGACATCACCCCCTCGAGCACGAGGCCGGGACGGTGCAGAACTCCCCAGGCGCGCGCCGCTGTCCTGAGCCCGAGAGCGGAGATCACCAGAGCCCAGCAGGGGCAGAACTGAGCTGCACGCTCCACCCTGAGGCCTGTTCGTTGTCCACGCTGAGAGGCCTGCACTTGAGAGCTTTCACACTATCGCGAGGGGGAGCTCTGTCACGAGAGAAACCCCTGTACGTGATGTAAGTATTCTCAGCAGAACACACGCCTTCCGGAGCACAACCTAACGAGAGCGTGGTTCGGGCCACTGAGTGAACCAGCCACCATTGCAAAGACGTAATAAACCAAAGCAGAACGTCATATGGGACAGACACAAGCACCCTGGAGGAACCCACACCCAATAATTCATAGACCCATATTCTTGCGCTTTCTGAAGATGCAAGAACATTTTTCTTTCCTTATTGCTAATGCTGGTTACAAAATAAAATGACCTTTGAGACCGTGTGCATGTGACGACATTCCTTTGGATATCAGTCTGGTTAATCAATATCTAATTGTGCACTGCAAATGTGAATCGCAAAGGATACTACTTGTGCATAGCGAAATTGTGAAAAAGAAAAACTGAGTCTTGGTTTAGACGTAGGTTTGTGCTTTACTTGTCAGCACAATGCCAGGTGTAAATGGCCAAGACAAACTCTGCTTACCCGGGCTGTGAACATGGTTTAGGTGTGAAAGAGGAACTCCAGATTAAACATTTAACAGGCTTGTCTAACGGTCTTGACAAGAGGAACCAGCAGTCACTGGAAACGGACTGTGGCTGACTTGCAATTGACGAGCAGTTAAACCTCCTGTTCAAATCCGCCTGTTAGCAGATGTTTGGCTGGGACACATGGTAGATAAGTTAATCGATGTCGGGATTGTTTTCTTTCTAAAACTGACCACCTGCATAAATACAGAGGGTCACTCGAGAAGCCCACCGCTGAAGGAAAAAGTCGGGGCTTCTTCTGAGGCGAGTAGCAGCTCACACTGAGCAGGCTGCAGAGGCCAAGCCACTGTGTCCCGGCTGTCCTCCTCGTTCCTCCCCTGGGCTCGCAGAGCCCCGGCCCAGCAGGCCTGTTCCTGGACCTCCCTGGTTCCTAACCATGTGGGAAACCAGTCCGCTGGCATGATGGGTAGCTCGGCTGCACCAAGGCTCTTGAGGCCAGGGTACATTCTGCGTGGAGTCTCCATGCTCCCCCCGGTCTGCAGGGGTT